TATATATATATAAAAATTAAAATAGTGATCATTCTGCTATCTGCTATCCCACTTTTGGGATCGGTTGGTCCGCTATCCCACTTTGGGATCGGTTGGTTTCTATATTATATATGCTTCTATTTCTCATATGTATTTGTATCAAATTTTTATAAGCTTTATAAAGGCTTGGATACTCCAAAGATGCATATAAAGTGAAGTATCTAAAAATATCCGTATTATATACTTATTTGTGAGAATGAGAAAGGAAATTTTCTTAATGTGCTCGAGTGAATTTTCCACCCAGCATATTGATCTATTTATAATAAAAATGGTTACAAAGACAATAAATGACTAGAACTATTTTCAAGAGAACAACTAAAATATCACAACTTCCTAAGATACATTGAGCTCAACTAAAATTAACTAAGCTACATGGAAGGGTAATAAACATTAAATGCTCTTATTATTCTTTCAAATCTGGACTACACAATCCTTTGGTAAGAATATTAGCAAGTTGACCTGGTGAAGGTACATATGGAGTGCAGTACATATCAAACAACTATCCAGCTTTTCCTTGATAAAATACCTGACCACTTCAATTTGTTTCTTTTGATCATGTTGAACAGGATTATGCACTATGCTAATTGCTGACTTATTATTATCGTAGAGCTTTATAGGTCCAACCCATTTAATGTTCAAACCTTCTGAGATAATTTTTAACACCTTGGGCCATAGCTCGAAGTTTAGCTTTAGCAGTAGATTGATCTACAATGTTTTGTTTTTTACTTCTCGAAGTTACAAAGTTTCCTCCAAGAAAGGTGCAATAACCAGTAGTGGATCTCCTATCAATTACCTGACCTTGCGTAGTTATCATCAATGTAGGCTTCAAGAATTGTATTCCCATTTCTTTTATATGAAATTCCTATTCCTAGTGTTCCCTCCAGGTATTGCAAAATTCTGGAAGTGGCCTGTAAGTAGACTTTTCTTATGATTCATGATATACTATTAACATCATGGTAGTATCGTAAAATTCACGATAGGATATGTACGATTCGAGCAGCTGGAGATTTGAATCAGTGATCGAATTGTTTTGATGCTTGAATCGCCCCATGAATTGCATGAATCAGATCTAAACCGCAAGAATTGCGACCTGGAAAAGAATTGCACGATTCTTGCATAGGTATGTTTTGTGAGGCCTAGGAGTCGCTGCACCCTGCCCCTCCTGCAAGGACTCACACCTGGAGCATTTTGTTTTGCAGCCAAAATTGCAGAAAATGGCTGCTATTGCACCGCACTATGGTTCTGCTTATCGGTGTGCTTGTGGGCACCCATGGTTAGCATGCATTCATGGCACATTCAATTTATTAATTTTATCCAGTTATTCATCTTATTAAAATTTTTCATATATTATTTCAAATAGAAATTGCAGAAGTAAATTAACATGCTTGTTACCCAAGGTAATCAGAAATGGCATGTACTATGTGAGCGTGTGAAATTGTACCTGCTAATAGTAAAACTGAAAATATTTCTGTGTCTAGTAAAATTTAAATGGTTTTTGCAGGTCAGATATTGCTTGGAAAGATGCCAAATATGCTCAGATATGGGAATATCTTAGGGATGAATTTGAATTAACTCAGAGATTTGCAAGTCTTGATTTCAAGTTGAAATTTGTGGAGGTGTAACTTTTATCTTGGAAACATAATTTATGGCTGGATTTACTATCCGGAATTTCCATTGTTTATTTATTATTTATTTTTACTTATAAGTATGGATTTTAACTTTTTCCCCTTTCAATTTTGCAGCATAATATCCGTTTTCTACAAGAAATTCTTCAAAATAGGAAATCCGATTTCCTAGAATGGCTCATTATTGCATTGATTGGTGCTGAAATTCTTCTGTCTCTCTATGACATTGTTCAACGGTCTGCCATGAAATTTTAGCAGCATTTTTTTCCTGGTGGCATTTAAGATTAGCATGCCTCTGAAGGATCGTGGCATACTAGCACTCGGTGCTACTCATTTTAGTTTAGATGTTGGTGGCTCATGCTAATACATTCCGTCTCTTGTAAATAACAATTTTTAACCCTTTAAACTCAGTTCTTTACTAGTCATTAGTATAATTTGTGTGGAATAATATCGCTGACTGAAAACTACACCTGCATGTTTTGTTGTAATATTTTTGTCTATTGCATCAATTATTCATTCTGTTCAATTTTGAGAACTCAGGCAGTTGCCTATTTTGATGACCTATTATCAAAATGATATGTTGCATGCTAGCTGCAAAACCCGTTAATCTGTAGTCCAAAAACAGTGAAGGGGCATATGTATGAAAGAAATATGGATTAAATAATTTTTTAGTCCCAGTTATTTCATTTGTCTTTATTATTTTTTTTTTCATTTTCGTCTTAGAACCCAAATGTTAAATCTGATGGAAAGGAGTTAAAAAATTATAGGGACCAAAAAGGGAGAAAAGTATAGCAATAAAAAAAAAAAGCATTAAAATGAAGAGAAAATTTGAGAGGGTCTAAATTAATGAAAATAACTAAAATTAAGAAGATTAAAAAAATAATTAGAATTAAGAGGATTGAAATTAAAATAATTTTATTTTAAAGGGACTAAATTTCTATTTAAGCTAAATTATTAAATTTTAAATTTTAATTTGTACTTATATAGAGTAACAATCTCATTTTTTAGTGACCATTTTAAAAAAATAAATTTAAACATAAAACGTTATTGAAGTTGTCCAATAAAGTTATTAACATTCCCGTTATAAAGGAAATATAATAAATTGAGAGCAGTAAGAACAAAACATGAAATATGATAATTATGATAGAGATTTTTTAAATGAGTTGTAATGCATGAGCTTGGAATTTTTTTTCACAATGTTATGTATAAGTTTTATCGAGTGATGTGATACCTTTTTGCTACAAATTATTTATTATGAAAATGTCTTATTAGAAAAGAGTAAAATAAAATAAACTTTTTTAGTCACATTGTAAAAGGGTTTCATTAATTATATATTTTACTACAACAATGTGTAATGACACATTATTAATAAATTTTTCTTATATGAATCCTAGACTCAATTAATTATTATTGTATTTTTTGTTAATACAATAAAAAATCTATAATATTAAATACCATAATTTATGGTACTTTTTCAACATATCATGATATATATATATATATATATATTTCCTATATGAAAAACATCGCATCTAACATTATAGCCAAGTAAAATTATTCAAATTATTAACAATTCATAAAGATATTATAAATAAAAACAACTTCTAAGAGTTAAACTCAAAAGACTTGCATCACTAATATCATCATACCACGAAGGTATCAATATTATAATTACACATATAATTAGGATACTCAAATTGTAGTAGCTATTACTCATGTAATTTCATATAGATCAATATATTGCCTCAAAAGTAAATAAAATATACAATCACCAATAACTGTAAAATGTAGAGCAATGCTCATTTCATCTTCTCATTCATAATAGTTATCTTTTCTCACTATTGATAGATTCTCCGTTATAAATTACCTACATTATTGAAATGATGGCTTGCAATTATTTTCTTCACCATTTCAGCACACCTCATATTTTTTTTTTTGATAAAGTAAAAAAGTGAGTATGTGCTTTTGCAATAAAAACATTATATTCTCCTTCATCATTGTAATCTTGTGATTAGCTCTCACACTAGTGACTTGATTGGAAATCCTAAACCTCCCAAAATGTGTAAATGATTTTATTTGAACAAAATGCCAATCAGATTGCCTTGGATAATTATAAGTCTTTTAGATTGTTGTCCATGAATGCCGAGAATATCAACTAATCTAAACTCCTACAATGTATTTCCCAAAAGGACTTATTCACAGATTTCCACATAAGCCTATAAAGTACAACATGATCTTCTTAATGCTAGACTGAAGATATAAGACTGACAAGTTCTTCACAAAAAAAAAAAAGATAATATAGAGAAGGATAAAAGAGAGCAATGCTCAATACATCTGACTCTATTGGTTCTTAATTTTTATAGAAGGGTGATATTGACCGTTGTGACTATAATTAATTATAAAAATTAAAAATAATTAATTTAAATATTTGATAATTTAATTTAAAATTAATTAAAACTACAATTATTAAGATATTATATCTTATTAAAATTAATATTAACAAGACATTAAAAAGCATCAATTAATAAAATAATGGTTTAAAATTAAAATTAAAATTTAAAATAATTTTGTAAATAAATTAACTTTTTAAAATATCTCAAAATATAGATGTTAAGTTGTTTCTCTTAGCTAATAATTTAGGGATAGGGACCCTTATAGGTCTTAGGTAGTTTCTTTTGTTTCTATCATTTTTTTTACTCATAAAAGAATATGAATTATTGTTGTTGTTATTGCTATTACTTGATATGAAATTAATATTTTCATTAAATAAAATCTAAAAACCGTAATAAGAAAGAAAATTATTAAATGAAATAGACAATATATGACAATATGCAAATTAATTTCAATTCTTCTATTGTTTAAATAAAACTATTTAATAAAATCATGCATTTGGCAAATCTAATTTATCTAAATTAATGATTAATATATATACTAATTTTTAAAATGAAATATAAATTATACGAAATATAAGGGAATGCAATTAGTGAGTTCTATAAATGTAGTTTTGTCAAAAAAAAAAATGAATTTTGTCCCAATTATTGACTTGATTGAATTCATATATTATTTACTTTTTCTATAAAATATTTGGTATTCAATTGTAGTAAAAAAAAAGTCAAATTTAAGATTTTATATATATTCTTATCCAAACTCTCATCACGATTAACTAACTGCAGTGTTTTATTGATTCTTTCTAAATATTCAAGTACTATATGCATTTAGTAAATAAATTAAATTGATATTAATTATTGCGATGATACTATATTGTAATAATTTAAGACTCGCATTGTTTTTTAATTACGCGTCTTGAGATATGCAACATTTTAGTCTAAATCAAGAAATTAGATAGTCTATTTAAATAGATTACACAATGTACATAGAAAATTTTCATTCGTCCTTAATTGCCTCATACATGGAAAGGACATTGAAATAATGAACTTGGTTCATTTTCCCCAGTAATTTCCTTTCTTAGATAAAAATCTCACCGCTTCATTTTTTTTTATTAAAATTAAACATCATATACCCTTATAAATAGCTATATTTTCATCACATCATCACCACTCTCTAACAATGGCTTCCTTCATGCCATCCTCAGACCTAGGAGCCAATGTAATTGTTACCAAAGAAGAATTATTTCTCTTTCACAACATTGATCGTCAACTCTTCACTCGATTGGTGGTGGGGTTAGGCCATGACACTAGCCAATCCACACATGTCATGGCCTTCATCATGTGGCTTGAAAAACAGTGCAAGGATATGAAAATTGTGAAGAACATGCTCCAATGGACAGAAAGCATGCTTGATAGCCTTGCTAGTGAGGCCATCTTAGTTTTGAATTGCATTGAGAGTTCCCAATCCCCTTATGATTGTGTTGTTAATGATAAGGGTTTGCCTTTAATCAAAAGCATCATGCAAAACAACGCCATATCATTCAAATACTTTTATGACAATCGTGTGACTATAATCGGCGCAGTCACCAAATTACTCAATTATGTGTGTGTGAGAGCCTTTTCAGACATAGTGCAACAAGTGCAGTATACAAAGGCTATGAAGGAGCAACACTTGCAAATTGCAAATAGTTATGAGGCTGGTTCTTATATGAAACAAGTTGTGTATTATACTCCACTACCTGGGGTTACTATTGTACCTCATCAACAGGTTGCAATATCAACGCCACAATGGAGTGAAGAGAGTTCTAACTCTTCGAGTGTTGCTAATCCTCCTCAAGAGACTTATGATGTTTTGATCCGAAAAGACTTTAATCGAAATTTCATCGAACTCATGACCATGTTAAATCAGACTACCAATACAACTAGAGACGAGAAAAAAGAGGTTGCGGTTGATGATAGGATAATCTTTATGACATTTTCCAGAGGATACCTTATTTCGGAAGCTGAAGTTCGGGATTTCTTCTCAAGGTACAATTTTTTTTGTTTGTTATTATATATATATTAGCTTAGATTCAACGGTTTATTATTATATATTGAATTAATGGGTTTTTCTCGATGAACTTTGAATTAATTGATCCATGTGTTGTGTATTTTACTATGTTATGGTTTTTCATTTTTCCCTTTGTTGTTGGATTAGTCAGCCCAAAAGTTTTCCGGCTACTAGGATGTCATCTTATTAATTCCTACACCAGTGACTAATACTTTGTTGATTTTTGTATGGAAAATGTGTGATAACTTACACGTAACCTAAGCCTATTCATACTTTCATCAAAAGGGAGATTATTTTACAATTTTTTATTTATATTTTTTTTAATGAAATATACATACATGTCATTAATTGTGTAGTAACACTTTTTTAAAAAGAAAAATCACAGTAATAAATTCTCAAACACATTCTTTTTTACATTGTTTTTATTATAGCTAGGCTAAGTATGGTTAAAAATTATTAGTGAGATTCATTAAATGAAATAGAATGTAAGACTCACATAATTTTATATTTTTTTTCAGAAAATTTAAGTAAATAATAACAAAAACATGTTCAATAGAGTGTTAGAGAATGATAAAGTGAATTGTTTTCATTTCTCATCATAGTAAGTGTAACTCTCTTTTCATACATACATATAAAACTCAAATGTGTTAATATATAATACCTTTATCTTTGATTATAAGAAAATTTTAATCATATTATACCTTTTAAGAAAATTAGTTAATTTAGTTAAAAATATTTTATTTTTCAATAATAAACTAATTTTACAAAATTATCTTAAGAATTCTTTAAAATAACCTTTGAAAAAAAAAGAGAATAATAACTTTCTTTATTTTTACTTAATCATTTTCACCTAATTAATTAATGTTTAGAAGAGAGATATTTATGTGTCAATTTATCTTCTTCAATCCTAATAAAAGAGAGGAATTTTCCTCGAGTTAATTCCAAATATTTATTACCTTTTGTCTAAAACAATGATTAATTAAATAAAGATATAAGGATATTATAAAGAAGATATAATTAATGCAAATGGAAATTGGAATAAAGGTCTAATAAAAAGGAACAAAGTGAAAAGGGTCATATATGTCATATATAGAGAAATAGGTAGTCATCAAAT